ATTTTAATATTTGAATAAAAATGGTGTTTGTTCATAAATATTTTTTCGTTCAAATAATTATTTTTGTATATTTGCTTTTCTTCACTTTTTAATTTCCTTTTAATATTCTTTTTAATTATATTCTCTAGTAATTTTACTCTCATTTTTATTTTATTTGTATTTTTGCATTTCATTGGTTCTCTCTGATTAGGTTAATAATTTGTAGTCTCGCACTGTTTTTATTTTAATTACACTCCACTTTCTCACTTTTTTAAGACCACTTTCTTTGTTTTATTTTTTTTTTTTTTGGTTAATCTATATCATTCTTTTATTTGCTTTTTCATATTTTGTGTTAGAATTGTTCGCACTTTCCTACACAACTTTATTTGCAGCTATTTTTAATTACACCCATAAAATTTCGACATCCTTGTTCATATTCTCTTTTGCTTGTAGTTTCTCACGATAAATTCACAATGCTGCTTCAAAATCCATCGCTTCTCAGCAGCACCGCTGCGAATGCCAATTCTATAATTATAACGCGACCATTTTGACACCGAAAAATTTTGGAATTAGCACATACATACATACGCATACATATGTCTGCATGAATTTTTCGCGTTGAAAATTTCCAAAAAAAAGCACTTTTATTCACATTCGTAGCATTGGAATACCGTTACATGCTGTTATTTCAAGTATAAATTTATGGAAATTGCTTTACATTTGTTGTAAAATATATAATATATTTATATATATGCGAATCTAGTATTCACACGGCGACGTGCCATTCTTCTATCCGCCGTTGCTCGTTTGCCACTAGCGCTCGCCTCGTTGTCCGAAAATAAACTGATTCTGAGCAGAAGGCCACAGCGGTGTTGTCATATTTGAGTGTTTTCTTTTGTTTTCGCTTTTCTATTTGATGGAAATGAGGAAAATTGTCGAATTGGCTCTGCATTAATTTACATCTGTTATTGTTATTTTGCCTTTTTGTTGTTGCTTTGTCTTTTTGTTGTTGTTTTGCCTTATCTTTTGTTGTTTTAAATTGCCATCAGCTGTTTAAGCAACTGTTTAATTTGCACTCTCTTTTTCATATTTTTTTATAAAATAATATTTTACTTGCCACAAATGCTCCGTGTGGCACATGTGCAATTAATTAGGCGAAACCTATTTATGGCGTGAAAATTATTTAACATGTGCGCCATTAAATCACATTATGACTTAAATATTTTGATATTSAATTAATTTGGTTTATAACTTTTCCTGTCCATTTCGCAAATCTAATTTATTTGCATATCTCAAATAGTTGCGAAATGCCAACATATCGATATAAATTTGGATACATGTAAGTATGTATGTATACATATTTATATGCAGTATAATTTATAACYGTAATCTGTAAATGCTCAATATTTTGAAAATTTAAATAAATAAATTTAAATATCCCAGTAAGCTTTTTGTGCTTATTTACACCCTGTGAAAGCTCTCAAGTTTASGGTTGCAAGCTTGGCTACGAAGAATGATGAATATTCTATCATCAACCAGCAAATCAAGGCAAAGTGTTGCCAGGTGAGAGTTTTGCTTCTAGCATAAAARTGTTTGGTTCACAAATTTTATATATTTTTACTAAATTCAAAAATTGAGAATTTTCAAATCAACCCAATTTTCCACATTCAAATAMAATTTAAGTTTTATTTGCAAAGTAAGTTATCAGTGACATTTTGCTGAGAGTTTGTTGGAGGCAAAGAAATAGTAACAAACGCAGAAGTTAACTAGGTTACTTGGTCGATGAAGATTCTCAGATTTCTACTTCCGCTAACGCTAATACAAGATAGTTACGTAGAGAGCGGAAATGATAAGATAGGTTAACATTTGGTTGCTCCCTTTCCAACTTTAAGAACGAAAATCGCATCGTTTCTGGAAAAATTGTTCGCAAATCAGGAGAGCAAACATTTTTCARGAACTTTATGACTCAAAAGGGGAGGCAAATGCTTATCTGCAGGACATTGAAGTTATTCAAGTTATATYGAAATGTTGGTGGACCCTTTGAACTATTGCTTTCATCTAGTTGGTGATTATTTTGAAACATAAAGCGTCTATCTGTATATATGCGCACTCATTTGTCGAAATCGTCGATATTGGACTCCTATATCATAAAACAGTCATACAAACTGAACGAATGGAATAAAGTGCTTGTACAGAAAAATTTTCTGCTTAACAAGATTTCTTCATGAAAATTAGCATAAATTATAATCTAAGTCATAGCTATAATATTTGAACGAATTTTTCAGATCGAACTACTATAGCATATAGCTGCCATACAAATTGGGAATGATCCCAAGCGCAAGTCCTTGTATGATAAACTTTTTTTTTTAGCTAGATATCTTCACGCAATTCGGCATGAATTACTATCCAAGACAACTGTATAATCTCCGAACAAATCAGTTAGATCGGTTTACTATAGCATATATTTTTTTATTCTATATTTTTTAATTTTATTGCAATTTTATTGTATTTTTTCATTTTTATTTTTGTTTTATTTTTATTCTATTAAGTACAAATATTTACCATTTATTTCAATTGAAAAATGTTTGTTTCGTTTTTGGAAAATGTTTGTTCTAAGATGAATCTAGTAGCCTCTAAACAATGCCACTGGTGCCTTGCCACGCACCCGAAGTTGCCTAAATACCTTGAATCCGCTTAAAGTAAATCAAGATATGCAAATAAATAAGTATAAGTGATGGCATTGAGATTTCAAACTAATATTTACTGCCTGAAAGGAAAACAAGSTGCCAGAAACCACTCATAACATAAATAAATAGTGGAAGCACATAATTGCAGTAAAAATAAGCAATGTCAAATAGTTGTAATTTCAATTTCAAACGCACACATACAAGCATATATTCACATACTTGCATACATATGTACAAAAAAGTATATACAAAATGTTTCAATCAATCGAAGCAGTGCCTAAAGCGAGCGCTAAGCGTGAAAAGTGCTAATTGTTTGTATTAGAAATAAAATAAGTTTATATGTATATACATACATACATACATATATGTTTATACCATTCATATATAAATATATCTATAAATCAAATCGACTCATCACTCATTCTTGGCGTCATTGATCCGCCTTCCTCGCTAGCTGTGATGCCTCATTGACAAATCGATCCCAAATACTGACGATGTTATTACGGAAATCCATTTTCCGAAGTGTGCAAAATCTAAAATTTTAATTTTTTTTTCTTTTCAAATCTGTTCGCAGTTCCAACAATTGTAAATAAACATTTCTGCCGTACTGGCAGTGCCAGAAACGAGTTGAAAACCAACAATCTGTTGTATTACAGCACTGCCAGCGAAGAGGCAAGAAAGTTTTCTAAAAATTAATTTGTGAGTAATGACTTCATGTAGTCGAGTAACAAATGAAAACATTGTCCAGAGTAGCCAGATGCAGCAATTTAAATGAATTAATGAGCCAATATTTGTCTAACGTTTGAGATTGAGAGTGGTGTGGAAATTGTGGTGCAAGTTGCTAGAAAACCTGTGCTCCTTAATGTTTATACGAGAAATGTTKTGCCAGCTGTCGTGCAGTGTTTAAAAAGCGATATTTCTTATGAAAGCACCTGTTGAATGTTTTTGTGTGTGGCAGAGAGAAGAGTAAAAATCAGAATGTAAAGGTTTTGAGAAAAGAGTAGAAAGTAGCATATAGAGGTTTTGGTTACAGAAGTCTTCCATGATACGCTTAGCGGAATTCTGATGGAACTATAGTTGTAGAATAAAAGACCTAAGTCCGTCTATTGGCCGTTTAAGGGTTTAACAGGGTTCTGCGAAAAGTTTTAACCCAAGTACCGCGATAATGCTGAAAAGTTAATAGCTTAGAGCATTTAAACATTTCTGTACTTTTCATTGTTACTTCAGCGGCATAAAACCTCTCTGAAGTAGTTTTGAGAAATGCTGCCTTGTTGATAGTCCTAAACCGTATGAAATTCCGAGTCCATTCCGGTTAGCAACATATGGTCATAAAATTTCTAATTTTGTGCGCTTAAAAACATACTTTTGCCTAGAAACTTGTGAGGGTGTGAAGAAATCGTGCTCTAATAAAAAGTTTTATAAGTTTCAATTATCAAGTTAAATAAGTTCTCTATAGTACATTATTTGAATAATACATTGCATAAGCACCACAAACAATTTATTTCATTGCTGAGAGAGCGTTGAAATTCTTAGAAAAATGTGCCAGGCTGCATGCAGGGTCACTTTTTGAAACTGACTGAAGGATAAATATAAAATTAAAAAATATAAAATA